AATTGAAAGCTTAGGCAGTGGGCATGCAGTTGTTTTCATATATGGGGACCATTTTGGTTGGTGGATGGATATATATATATATATATATATATATTATTCGGGAGGTACATGTAAAGTTACATTAGTGAATATGAACTTAACAAATTATATTAAAAGTTTAAGAGATGTAAAATTAGATAATTAATAAAAAGTACACAAAATACTTAAAATATAAGAAAAAATAAAATTCATGGAAGTGTGACCGCATCTCAATACCCTCAATTCATCTCTATAGTGGTGGATTCACCCTTAATCCAGGATAGACATGTACTCACCGTAAAATTAAAATTTTATTTGATTAGTTATATATTTTATTAATTGTATCTATTCTAAAATTTTATTTATATAAATTTCATATAAAAAATTTATATTATCAATATATGTGTCTTCGTCCTAAAAAAATATTTTTAAATCTGCAATTGTATATATATATATATATATATATTGTGGCAAAAGCTTTTAGCCACTTTGATGTTCGATCCCAAGAGATTACAATTGATTTACAAGCTCATCAAACTAATAATAATTAATGGGTCTCCTCTCCTCTTCTTTTGAAGATTAACAACGTCAACTGAAAAGTTAAAATAATTACTACTGTCTGTATATAATAATAAATGGATTTCACTATTCAACTTTATTCTCAAATCATTGATCTTAAAAATTAATAATTTAATGATTTGCATGCAATAAGAAAAACAATGTATGTTTGTGAATCTATAAAAATATTAATAATAAAAAATATTATTATTTAAGAATCTTGAATTTAAACCATTATTTTTATAAGATATATATACGTTATCGATAGTTATCAATAATTAATGAATATAACTAAATAACTTTACTTGTCAATACGTTAACCTTTAGGGGGCGTTTGGATGGGGAATGTGGGATTCCCCCGGGAATGAAATCCACATTCCCCCGTCCGTTTGGTTTGGCCGGGAATGTCATTCCTAGTAATGTTTTATTACCAATAGTGGATTTTTTGGGATATATTACCGGGAATGTCATTACCTCATTTCCCTTAGGTATTGTAACATTACCGGCGTTTTGGACTAAAATGCCCTTAATTTTTTTATTTTTTTTCCAAAAAATCATTATTCTGTCATTGAATAATAAAAATTCTACGAAGGTTAAATTACAAATTTATCCTTAAATTATTTTAGATTTTTACCCTTCAAAACATTTTTTATATTTTTAATTTTTTTTGTAAAAATATTATAAATACTATGAATTTATTTTTTTAAGAAAATATAAATTTTTTACAACTTGTAATATTATACAAATATATAATAAGGACAATTTGGTCAAATATATATTCCAATAATCTTTTATTCCTTTAATCAAACACGGTAATCTTACATTCCTGCTAAACCAACTAAACACAAAATATAACATTCCCAGTAATCTTATTCCCTGGTTACCTTTTATTCACAGTAAATCTTACATTTCGTGAACCAAACGCACCCTTATAGACACTAGCTGTAGAGTACAGCACATATCCCTATGGGATTTCTAAAATTAATTAAGAGAATAATCATAGATTAATGAAGAAAGATTAATTAACTGTCCATGCAAGTTCAGAATTTCATTTTTCAATGTGGGCAGCTTTTTGATGACTACCGTGGAATCAACCTTATATATTTATTTTATTGAGGGGGTTTAATATATTGTTAAAATAAAATGTGTGATCAAAATGAAGCTAAAATATAATGTTAAGCATAATTTTTAAATGACTAAAATGAAAAAAATTATAATTAAAATACTAAATGTGTAGTTTACCCTAATACAATTGTATATCCATGCAGACGAGTCCCATCAACCATGCAAATACATGATTTCCAGTTTTAACTGTTACGTACAATTAATTGACAAGTAATTTGTTACTTTTGCGTGGAAATAGGAAGCTTAGGGAAAGTGACTGAGCTGTATGTGTGTATATATTGGGTAGCGGATTAGGGAGCGGACGTAGTATTTTATGTTAATGATGAATTTTTAAAATATTATAAGGGAGTAAATTTATAAAATTTTAAAAGAGTGAAGATAGATTATCAATTAAAAATATAAAAAATATATTTAAAATATATATTAATTTAAAATTTTCAAGAGACGAGTATCCTTACTCATTCCTTCCATCTATTCATGTATATATTCCGTGTCGGTTAGATTCTTATGCTTGTTATGTCTCTAAAAGTACAATACTACTTTCACTTTCATGCAATGTCGTAGGTGATTCGACTTTCAATAATACTATGATAAGTAGTATGGATGTTAACTCCCCAATAATGAAATTAGTAGTCTTCTAAACATTATCCACAAGGGTCAAGACTAGGGTTATAAACGATAGAGTTGAGCTCGAGTATTATTAAGTTCGACTCGACTCGAAAAGATTAGAGCTGAGATAGATTCGATTGGAAAGTTCGCTATCTTAAAATTATCAAGTTTGACTCGAATCCGAAATAAAAAATTAAAGCTCAACTCAAGCTCGAAAAATTATATTTGAATCTCATAGGTTTATCATGAGATCATTATATTCTTCCCAAAAGATATATGAAAAAAAAATAATAACAATTTTTTTGGTTGTTCTCACACTTGGTTGTGGTAGATGAGTCTTCCAACGCGAAATTTTTGTTAACACAATGACTCGAAAGCAAGACCTATTTAAGCGATATCAAGCTGTTTACCACCTGAACCAGTCCAGTTGGTCACGGTAATGATTTTCACATATTTTAAATTAATACAATTAATATGATAAAATTTTAATGCCATATCTAAAATATCATTTATGGGTTCTAAATTTAAATTTTATTGTAATTTAAATTTCAATAATCCATATCTAAATTCAAATGTATTCAACTTATTAATATATCTATTTATATATTATAATTGAAAACAATTTATTTTTCAAAATTCAAACTACTTGGAAATAAATTATAAATAAAACACAAACTAAATAGACTAAACATTTTCCCAGGATTTGTGTAGAAAATGACAATTGGGAATCTTGGCTGACAGTTTTGTTTCTTGCAGCACAATTTAAGTATAAATTAACATATTTTGTATTATTGTGGGGTCCTTTTCGAGAAGGATTTGATCAGCGCACCCGTGAACGGCCAAGGCTAATTTCGTCACTTCGCCGGCTCACGGCGGCTGCGAGTTCAGTGTCCGTCTCGTGGTTTCGGGTCAAACGCAGGGGCTTTTCGGGAATGAAATTGTTTTTGTAAAATTATGCCGGAAAACGACAAATTCGTCGGCTTGAAGATCTCGTCCACAAGCGATGTTTGAAATGTGTTGGATCTTTAACATGTTAAAATGTCTGTAATACCCTCAATGTCCCTGAAATATTACTGATTTGTTAATAGGAGTAAATCCCTTATAATGAAGCCATTCGTTAATCCAAATGATGCATATAGTGTCTTCAAAATAATTTTTTGAAAAAAAAGCTAACATATTAGATAATTATTTTTAATACATTAAAATCCATCAAATTAATTAATAACTATTATATTTAATATAACAAATATTATCTAATACATTCAAATAATTTATAAAAAAACTTTTAAAAACAGTTAACAAAAAGCTTAACTTAAATAATCTATATTTGTAGGTAACATCATTAATTATAACCAAATTTCATTCATTTTCTTTTAAAACTTATAAAAAAATCAAGAAATAATTTTAGTGTTAAAAGAAATATTGATCCCTTTAAGTGGATTATTATTTTTAAAAAAATTAATCAAAGAACATTAATATACTAGAGTCAATTAAAATTAAATCATATATTATCTATCTTATAAACAATTTCTTTAAGGCCAAATTTTGAAATTAAGTATTGTGGTATTTCTTCCATTAGTCGTATCATTGACAGACTCACATAATCTAATATCTAAATCTATTATCCGACAGCTAGATTTATTCACCTCGTCGACCTACAAATAACCATCATCACCTTTAGGCATGAAGCCAACACTAAGAACATGTATATAAATCACCATGCAAGGTTGGAGGAGAGACTATCTCGATCAATCTCTCTCGATTGTTCATCGTCTTCTTTAGTTATTATGTTCTCTCTTTCCATTACTCAAAACAACCGTTTGTGACTCTTCATCTAAACCATAAAGGATGAACCATCAAAATCCATCACATCTCCAATTCTCCTATCAATTATAACTAATTTATTTATTATGATAAATAAGTATTTATCTCATTGACATTATTACTTAATAAATTTTATAATTTTTAATTTTTAAAATTTATTATTAATAAAATCTTAAGAAAATATATTTAAAAATAATCAAATAAATTTAAATATGTATTCCATAAAATTTAATTATTTAAAATATTTAGAATAATTATAACTAAAATTTTAAAAGGTTGACCAAGTGGGAGGTGTGAGTACAAAATTATAGTGATGATGAATGAAATTTATATTTAAACTTGTAAACTCTATCTTGGATAAATTTCTATTTTACACCTTCACTACTTGGATTTTTTAAATCAAGTCCCTATGACAAAGAGCACTAATATATGGGAGTAAATTTGACATGATAAGCTAATATAAGGGTAACTAACATCACAAAAAAATTGAAAAGTTTCGGGATTTAGGCCAATTTATTATAAAAACCTAGGGCAATTTGTTATAGCATTGGTCAAAAGTCTTAAATATATATATATATATATATATGATATACTATCATATTACATCATGTAAAACTTTTTTAATTTTACACAGAATTAGAACTGTTGAATGAGAGAAAATAAATGAATGAGATTAGTAGTAGGAAATGAGAAGATATTTACTGGAAAAAAGACAAGAAGTTAATATCAACAATCTATTTACAATCATTCAACGATCCTAAATCTATATAAAATCTTTAGTTTTACATTGTAAGTGGATCATATATATATATATATATATTACCTAGTAGCAATATTTATTATTATTATCACTCTAGCCAAAGAAGACCAGATTGGGTTGGCTTCATATATATGTTATTCACTTACCTATAGGCAGAATAAAGCAGGAAAAAACACTTTACCATCACCAGAAATAAAGGAGAATTTCCTGGTTCTTGTCTTCCTTTAGCTACAACAAAATCCCAAGTTTTCTGTCTTTTTTTTTTGTTTTTCCCCCTTTTATTAATATAAACAAATAATCCTGCTTTTGGTGTGTGTGATGAGCATCAAGAATTAGGAATAAGAGAAAAAGAAAAGAACAAGAGAGTTTCATTTGGAAGAAAGACAAAAAGTTTATTGTATTTTTTTTATTAAAAGATCTCTCTCTCTCTTTTTTCTTTCCCCGTTCCATGTCAAATATCACAGGTGACGGAGGTAGTTTCTCTTCTGAAGCTCAACAAGAAGAGCAAGAACGAGCAAGAAACTTTCATGGCTCAACGAACAGAAATGGCTCCACTGCTCCACCACCAGCCAAGAAGAAACGAAACCTTCCAGGAACTCCTGGTATATAACACACACACACACACATATATATATGAACAAGCTTTCAAGTTTTTTCTCTCTCTCTCTCTCTCATTAATCCATTTAAAACAAAAAAAAAGGGTTTCAAGATCTTGAAAATGGGGAGATAATTGTGGGATTTGTTGGTAATTCAGTGTCTTCTTAGGTTTTCTTATTTGTTGCAGTCAACTGATAAGCTATCAGATTCAGAATATAAGCATATAGATACACGTACAATTCAACTTAGGTGTTTTCTCTTGGTTTTACTTGCTGGATTTAGAAAGTTTCTTGAATGTTTTATTTAAGCCGCTTTAGTTCAACTATAGCTGCTGTTAAGAACAAGATCTTCTGAATTTTTTGGACTACTTTTTCTCGGGAAAAAATACTAACAGTTTTTGAGAGCAAATCTGGGTTGAATTATTGAAGTTTTTTCTTTCTTTTTTACTTTAAGCTGTGTAAGGGGAAAGGGTTTCAATTATTGGTTCCGTATGACAATCATTGCAGTGCAAACTGTTATTTTTCTCTCCTTTTCCCTTTCTTTTCTTTTCTTTTGTTCTTCACTGTTTAAGTAAATAAAATCAAAATTTTCCCTGACAATGGAATATCCGTACTTTTAATGAAATTTTAGTTTATTGTAGGAAGCAAATAAAGATGATTATTATTCTTAGATTTCTAAATTCGAACAGGCCTATAAGAATATTTACAAATTTATTATCAAATGATTGAAAGGGTGTTTCGATCGGATACCACCTTATATTATCATCTAAAATAACACAAAGTGACTGATATATCAGTTTGTTGCATGGTTTTATGTGCAGATCCCAATGCGGAAGTGATTGCTTTATCACCAAAGGCACTTTTGGCGACGAATCGTTTCGTGTGTGAAATATGCAACAAAGGGTTCCGAAGGGACCAAAACCTTCAGCTCCACCGTCGAGGGCATAACCTGCCGTGGAAGCTTAAGCAAAGAAGCACAACCGAGATACGCAAAAGGGTTTACGTTTGCCCCGAGCCGTCATGCGTCCACCATAACCCGGCTCGAGCCCTAGGCGACCTCACCGGGATCAAGAAGCATTTTTGTCGCAAGCATGGCGAGAAGAAATGGAAGTGCGATAAGTGCTACAAGAAATACGCCGTGCAATCTGATTGGAAAGCTCATTCAAAGACCTGTGGCACCAAGGAATACAAATGTGACTGTGGCACCATTTTCTCCAGGTGTGTATATATATATATATTGTTATACCTCCGAAAATTATCTCTAAAAACTAACGGAAACCTTTGGTCAAACTTGTTCGTTTATCAAAATTTTCATGAAATTCATATCATCCAGACAAAAGTATCATAGCCTTCCATTTAGCTATAGTGCATATTCAAGACCTTTGATAGTCCAATGTGATGTACTAAAGCGAAATTCAAGATATAACAACCAAATTTATTGAACATGCTGACCTACGAGTATTCATATTACCCTATGTGACAATATTATTTAGAGTCACTATAAATAGTTCTCAACCACATGAGTGTATCCTCCCCACTTTTCTACATCTTATTCACTCTCATCTTCTTCCTTATGATTTCATCTCTCCTACATAAAAATATTGCCAAATGTCATTAACACATCGGCTGATACTTTTCGTCCAAATTAAAAAGAATGTATTGTCAATATTCGACCTATCAAATTGTTTCGTCAATATATATATATATATATATATATATATATATATATATGAATAATGGACTCTTGAATTTGTTTTTTTTTCTTTTTTTTTTTTTGGAGGAGAGACAGCTTTATAACGCATCGAGCTTTTTGTGATGCCCTAACTGAAGAAAACAACAAAGCAAGCCAAGGACTAGTAGCAAACGTGGGATCGGCAAATGTACTAGGCCGCGTTGCTGCTGCTTCTGATCAGCTCATCCCCGCAATTCCCATCAATAACAACCGGAATCCATCCGCCATCTGTATATCAGATCCATTCGCCAACGACACTAAAAGCTCTTTGCAGCAGCCGTTAAACATGGCGGGCACCATGTTTTCAAACGGTGTTTCGAACTCTTCTGCCTCCTCTTGCTTGCAGCTGAATATGAATCCGTCGACGACCATATTTGACGGAAACTGCGGGCAACTCTTTTCCGGCTCGACCTCCATGTCCGCCACTGCATTGTTGCAGAAAGCAGCTCAAATGGGTGCAACCTCTAGTACTTTCACCACAAGTACCATGGCGTCACCATCGTTTGTTTCAATGCAAGCTCAAGATGATAACAACAACAACAACAATCTTGGGATGTTTTCAGGGATTTTCGAGCAAAACAATGCGTTGTTGAAGAATTCAGAGACTCCAAGAAGTCGGACTGGTTTATCAGGTTTCGGTGCTGATACAATGACGGTTGATTTCTTGGGGATTGGTGGATCGAGACCACCAAGGAATCTACTTGAGAAGCATCAACATCATCATCAGCAACAGCATGACTTTGATCAGTTTGCAGGAGCCAGACTGCAAGGGTTGCGTCATTGTCAGCAACATGCAGCGTTGGAGAAACCAATGTGGAAAGTTTAAAAAGAATAAAAGTATTCAGCTTAGCTATCTCCAACTACAACTCCCCTTTGCCTGTAACTTCTTTTATCACTTTTCTTTTTGCAGTCTATTCATGTAGCCATGGATCAATGTTTAAGACAAATATAAATGTTCTTGCTAAAGAGCAATTAAGCACTTCGGCTTGGTATGTCAAAAATCTAAATTGCTTGATAGATTCCGAATTAATTTATATATTTATTTATCTTTTAACTGTGGAGTGGCTGTGAATTTAACAACATTCATCGTCGTTATGTTTCGTTGTACTTCAAACACTTTAAGCAACGTCTAATGTTCGAATTCTAGAATTCTAAATGAAGCAAATAGATTTAGGATTACCTCCGTAATAAATTTATAGCATATGGTCTAAATAAATTGACTAATAAATTTAATTCTTATTTTTATACAAAATTATAAAAAATATTATTTATATTTTACCGATATTTTTTATTAATATAAGATTATTATAAGATAGTATTTGTTCTAAAGATTCTCAATAATTTGATATTGAAAGCTCAAATACTATTGCAATCTCTTGTACTTAAACATAAGACCTCTAGAGATAACAATAATTTCTTTACTCACTGATGTAGTTTGATCCGTACCATATATATTTTTCCAATATTTAATGAAGTATAAAAAAAACTCACTATAATATTTAAACTATTCATGTTACAACATAATTAATTACTAATTAATTGCCGGTGGATCTCGAGAGTGAAAATCCATCATTTCATGCATGATTTGCATTACTTTCCCTTGAGGTATCGGGCCCAAAAGGAAAAAGATTTAACTCTTTTCTTTTTACATTTTCACCTTTATAAATAATCATTGTTACAACTTTTTAACCATTTATTAATGATTTTATATTATTAAACAAATAATATTTATATTTTTAAATTAATATATAATATAAATAAAATTATTTGAATTTGAGTTTTTAAAAATAATATGTTTTAGGTACAACCAATTTGTTTAGTAAGATAAGATATTAGATTCCTACCATTTTATTAATGATTTTATATTATTAAACAAATAATATTTATATTTTTAAATTAATATATAATTAAATAAAATTATTTGAATTTGAGTTTTTAAAAAATATGTTTTAGGTACAACCAATTTGTTTAGTAAGATAAGATATTAGATTCCTTAAATAATTTTAGGAGTTCAAACTCTGACTGAAGAGAGTAAACTGGATTGGAAGTGTCACTCCCAAATTAGCCTAGAGATGGACATGGGTCGGGTTTTTGGTCCACCCGATTCGAGAACAAGGAGTCCTCTACCCGAGACCCGACCCGACCAAAACAAGTTTTCAACCCACCTGAACCTGACCCGACCCAAAATAATAAAAAATATTTTTATTCAATAAAAATAGTGACTTAATTGAACAAAATAATATACAGAGGGGTATTATTGTAATTATTCTTAAATATTTTAGGTAAAATTATATATATATTTTTTGGACGGGTCGGGTATTTTTCATCCTAAACCCGAACCGATTCAAACCCGAAATTTTTTAAAAAGTCTGACCCGATCGGGTCGGGTTCGGGTCTCATGCCCATCCCTAAATGAGCCTATATAAAACTCGATTTAAATTAGTCGGTCAATAAATTAGATACTAGTTATAATTTAAAATAATAATATTTTTTTTATTACGGAGATGGTTCCTTGAATTTACTTTTCAACACGTTTTAAGTGCACGAGCAAGCAAAGAGCAACCAAGAATCCCCGTATAGTACCCATGCAGCCCAAATAGCAAAATATTAGGCCTAAAACTAAAGGATCAAAAGTAGGCCCAAAATTAAAACAATGAGCCTCATTGCTGCAGTATCTTCATGCTTGTAAATACGTCTCCCGGAACAGAATTTACATGACACAATCATCCAACAACTGCCCGAAGGTGACTTTCCAACAGGTGACAACGAGGGCCGGAAAGTCTCCGACTTAGGAATTCGCACCGCTCGCCACGACATTCAACTGTCACTTACTTATCGGTGTAGGTTCGACTTCATTGATCTGTTGGTGCGAATTTCGGTTGCATAACGAGTTTCATTCTGCCGAAGTTTGAAGGTGGAAGTGCTTTATCCGATCGAAGCATACAGCCGTCGCATCGAAAACAACGAACGATTCAGTTAATAGGTTTCGACATGACCTGACTTATTCCTCAAGTTACTTCGATTTCATTGATGGGGTTTAACTAGTTTAAATTCAATGCTGTTGTTTTGCATGAAAGTATTGGGCCTGCAGAGTTTAGGAATCGGGCAGACCGGGTTGGACATCAAAGGATGCTGTATAGAGCAGCTGAGAGATTAGAGAGATCACTCGATCCACTCCCCACCGCCACTCCGAATTCCGGCAATCACCGCCGGGAGAGTGTGAACTAGCCAATTGTTGCATATGGTCCGCCTGGTGAGCTCAATGTTAGTGTCATTGTTTCATCGGTTCCCTTAGACTTCTCGTGAGTACCAACTATTTCACTTCTATGGGTTAATAACAGTTTTAGTCCTCTTCTTATTCTAAAATTTGTGATTTAATCCCTTAACTTTAATTTGATATAATTTAAGAGATCTAATTATGAATGTCATCCATCTACCTTGAAAATAAAAAAAAGTAGTCCTCTTTTTTTTATTTGTTAAGAACTTGATTTTCATATTTATGAAAACTTTTAAGTGAGTCCACTTGTTGGTAAACAAATGAAGTTGAAATGTTAGTTTTTTTTCTACAATTTATCACTTATAAATTATTAAATTGTTGATTTCACTAATTCCTTGAATATAAATTGCCGAACTATGGATTTTCAACTTTTACTTCTTGATATAATTTAGGTCATTTGAAATTTAAGTCGTTCAAATAGACGGATTTAAACAAATTAAAATAATTTTAAAACTTTATAAAATATAAATATTTTATTTCACATATTATAATTATTTAGACTAAAAAAATCATAAGTACAAAATTGATCATATATACATACTATTCGTACCAATTTGAACAAAGAAACCAAATTTCAAAGAGATACGAGTAAAATATCGGATTTATCAATTTTCAATTTGTCCATTAAGTTTTCTAATTTTGACAATTCCCCCCTTTAGCTTTATTTTTCTTGACAAGACTGGAGTAAGTGTGAGATATCTAATCTTCCAAACCAAACAGGCCAACTGCCAAAAAAAATAAAGACTTAATACAAAAATGAGTATCGAAACTATGCCTTGAAAAATATTTTATTGCCTAAAGAATTTTTCGTTAAAAATAGGTGCCTAACGTTTTCTCTGTTACCATTTGAGGTGCCTAGAAGTGCCGTTAAAAATCTCCGTCAAGTGACACATGTCAGGCTCAGGTAATTTTGAGAATTCTTATTTAAAAAAAAATATATTCAAAAAAGAAACCTTAAAATTTTCCAAATCTTGAAAAAAACTCAAAACTTTTAAAACTTTAAGTTGCCACCGTCGGCAACCACCAACGCGTTAATCGGCCGAACACCCAACGACATGTGACCGAAAAACCACCCACAACGAAAACTCACATACTTTCACAACCGACCGAAAACCCAAAAATGGTGTAAATGAAATATTTCATTTTAGGGTTTTAAATCCTTATATTTAGGAATTTATAGATTTAGGGGGATTTGATGTTCGATCGGTTGCGAAAGTATAGAGGGTTTTCACCGTGGGTGATTGGCCAATCACATGTCGTTGAGTGTTCAGTCGATTGACGGCGTTGATGATAGCCGGCGGTGACAAATATATTAAAATTAAGATTTTAAAAGTTTTGGGGTTTTTTTTTAAATTTGATTTTTTTATTTTTTTAAAATTATTTTTTATTTTTTATTTTAAATAAATTTCTTAAAATTACCAAAACGTGACACATTCCATTTAACGAATATTTTTAATAACGATTAACGCATGACACCTAAAATAATAACAAAAAAATATTAAACACATTATTAAAGAAAAATTGTTTAATCAGTAAAATATTTTATGAGACATAATTTGAACGATTATTATTGTACTAAGCCAAAAATAAAACACTCCTTAGCATCTCATTTTCACCGGAAAAAAGAAACATTGCTCCACACCCAAATCTAATAGAGATATAAATCTCAGATCAAATCTAAATCTGCCAAAAGAACAAACAAACAAAGAGGAAGAAAGCTAAGAGAAAATGACGACCATGGCGAGGACAAGCACTGGCCTCGCCTACCCGGACCGGTTTTACGCGGCGGCTTCTTTCGCTGGATTCGACGGATCTCCCAATTCCGTCAATAAAGACATCGCCTCCAAGTTCTCCAATGAAGTCGCCTTGATCCTCTATGCCTTATACCAGCAGGTGATTTCACCCTTTTCATCCACCTCTCTCTCTATCAATTATTCATCGGATCTTGCCTGCTTCATTTCGAGTAATGTCATGTTCATCTTATTTCAGCTTAGGATATCGTATTGGATTGCTTATATTTTGTACATTTTGTTTCAATTTAGCTAGATCTAACTGTACACTGAATTTAAGGCTATTCGAATTTTGGTCTCCCGGATCATCGAATACGTATTTATTTATCATTTTAATCGGGAACCTCTTGTTTATCAATTGAATAAGTTCGTTGTCTGCTTCATATGACACGGATTTGCTTCTGCAATTTCTAGCAATGAATGTTTATTCTATTTCAGCTAGGGATTTTGTATGTTAGATCGCTTGTTTTTTCTTCTAAAAAATAGTTTGTATGTTTTTGTTTTGGACTTTTGAAGTGTAATTTAGGTAGATCTGGTTGTACACCGAATTTAAGTCAATTCGACTTTTGACATCTCTGATAATAGAATGCATATTTATTTATCATTTGAATTCAGAACCTCATGTTTATCGATGAAGTACCAATGTTGTCTGCTCCATACTACATGGATTTGCTTTTGTGAATTTCAAGTAGTGTCATTTTTATCTTATTCCAGCTAAATATTCATATGTTGGTTTGCTTTTTTTTTAAAAACAAATTTCAAGCAAATCCAATTCTAGTCTCTCAGATAATCAAATATGTATTTATTTATCATTTCAATTCAAACCTCATATTTAATTATGATACTAACTTTCTGCATTATTATGTGATTTTGCAGGCTACCGTGGGTCCTTGTAATGTTCCAAAACCGAGTTCGTGGAGTCCTGTCGAGCAAGGGAAATGGAAAAGGTCTGCAAGTTTATGTGCTGCTGTGTACTACCTTTCTGCTGCTGCTTATTGTTTGTATTCTAACAGGAACAATTCCTTTTTTGTTTGCATTTCATGTTTATATCCGGCTATTTTAGTTTGTTTTGGTATGCTTAGGGTGGTAGTGTTTTGATCTATTTGCTTGAAAGCAACGTTGAAAATAAAAATGTTGATTAATAGATATGTAAATGGATAGTTCACATATTGGTGTCAATTACATATGTGGGTTGAATGTTTTTAGTTGGTTTTACTTTTTTGACATTGCAGCACTGTTCTGCATGGTTCATATTGTTCAGTTCTTGTTGAAAAAGAATGGTGAAGTATTTCTTTGTTAGTTTATATTATTTAGTCCAAATAAGTCTAATTTTTTTGTCATATATGCATGTCTTTATGTATGTGCACAAGGATTTACATGGCTGAAAGTAATGTATTACGTCAGAATTGAGATGGATGTTGTCTATGATATTTTCTTCCTTTTTGATAATGATTCTTAAAGTAAAGTTTTTCATTATTTTATATAGCTGGCAAGAGCTCGGAAACATGGCTTCTACAGAAGCTATGCGTCTCTTTGTGAAAATATTGGAGGTAATAAGCCAATAACATTTTCTGGATTTTTGTATTGATATAAGTCCATTTAGCTTGATATGATTATTTTCTACTTTACTCCTTGTTCTTCGGTTTCTTGTTCAGGAAGAAGATCCAGGATGGTATTCAAGGGCATCTAACTCTGTTGAGCCTGTTAGAGATGTACCAAAGAATGTGAGCAAGCCGTTATTTCACAATTTTGGTTATATGATTTAACATTTTCCCATGTTTTGTACTTTCAGTGTTTTGGTTCTTTGACTACCCTTTCAAGGGCTTGTAATTCTATTCCTGATCTTGTTCTCAAGTTCTGAAGAAGCTGGTGTCGTCATAATTGTTCTATCCCCATCTACTTAAAATTTGAATGAGAGTAGCAAAGTTGCTTATTATGAGATGCTTGCATTTAGGCATGTTGTTCTATGTACTCACTTTTTCCTCAACTTTTTTGTGTGCTTATAGAATAATTCGAATGTTGAACCTGTCATTGAGAATGGGAATTCCATTGCTGAGACAAAGACCATTTCTGCTGAAAATGGAAGCCTGATGGAAGCTCAAGACAAAGATGTTGTATCAGAAGGCCTTCGTTCAGTTGTCATATATGATCAATGGGTTTCACCTCCAATAACTGGTCAATGTCCTAAAGCCCGATATGAGGTATTGGCATCTCTATCTTTTAAAAACCGGCTCTTTCTTCTTCATTCTTTTTTCCTTATCTAAAGAATTTTTAATCTTATTTGTTAGCACGGAACGGCAGTTGTTCAGGACAAGATGTATATATATGGTGGAAACCACAATGGTCGTTACCTAAGTGACCTTCATGTAAGTAAATTATTTACCTCGACGTGCAATAAACATGCTTCATGCCATGAGTTCCAGCATCCCTAATGCAATTCATTTTAGTGTTTGGTTTTTGACCTGAAATGAAATATTACTAAATTTAATTCTCACTTTCTAGACCATTACTGGAAATTCTAATCCGATAGCATAGTCATGTATCAGTTCAATTATACCTGATAGGTTTCACCCTAATGTGAGGATTGATACAGGTTCTAGATTTGAGAAGTTGGACTTGGTCAAAGGTTGAAGCTAATATTGGATCTAAGTCGGTGGAATTGTCATCTCCAGTAAATATAGCCCCATGTGCTGGTCATTCATTGGTTAGTAGAGAATTGATTTTCTTTTTGTTTCCTTTGTTTTCCCAAAAGCGAAGTTCTCTAATGATAAATTCACATTTCTTTAGAATCTGTATGCATAAAGTTCTTGTATTTATTCTGATTATCTTTCTGCAGTTATATCATCTAACATCTCTCTCTCTTTCTCTGTCTCATCTATTTTTCCCCATAGATCCCTTGGGAGAACAAGCTTCTATCAATTGCTGGCCATACAAAGGATTCTTCTGAAACTATCCAGGGTACTTGTTTCTGCCCCTTGCATCAGTTTTAAAAAATTTGAGGACTCCACTGCTCTTCTTGTTTCTCTTGATTTCTTATTCTATTGTTCTGTATTCTTATGGCAGTGAAGGCATTTGATACGCAAACTGGTACATGGTCAATATGGAAGACTTACGGAAAAGCACCGGTATCCAATCTCTCTTAACTAGCTCTCTTTCCCAGTATCAACTGGAAAATTACAACCCTAGATTTTAAATTTTAGTGGGTTTATGGTCTGCTGTGCTCTTCATAAAGAATGAGATTAGCATTTGTTTTTTTTTTAAATATTTCTGATAGCGGCAAATTTTGGCTGCTTGCATTACCACCCCTTGCACATTTGAATATGGTATGTAAAAAGCTGAAATCCAAATGCATACTAGTGTTGATTGCTGGAAAAATCTTTGCTGGAACTTTATCAGCATGTTGGTATGATTGAAATAAGTCTGGAGATAGAACTTGTGAAGCAAAATTATTGATTGCGTGTGTGCTTATATAAGCTTTTGGTAGACTATTTTCCTCAGGGTAGTTTCTTTGATTTTTGTGTGTTTTTCTTTCCCAATATGTGTCCAATTCGCCTTGCAGGTCTCTCGCGGAGGTCAATCTGTGACCCTTGTTGGATCCACCTTAGTGATATTTGGTGGACAGGATGCAAATCGAATGCTCTTGAATGATCTGCATATACTTGACCTAGAAACCATGACCTGGGATGAATTTGATGCCGTGTAAGATATTTTTTTGGCAATTTTATTCTTGCAATATCCCTCAACTCCTGTTTTTGGATGTCTGAATTCTTTAGTAAAAATGGGCAACTGGTCCTTCCATGGCCTTTAACATTAAAATTGAATTGAATTCACATTTGCTGCCTTCCAATTTCCAAAAGTTGGTTTTGAACTAGGGTCTTGTTGCACAGCAAAAATGGCAGGATCTATTTTTAATCTTGACCTGATTAAGGTTCACTTATTATACCAGCTAAGAAACTGATGACTGAATCTTAATTTGGTTCATAAGATTAGCTTGTGATCATTCATAATCTGGTCTACTTCGTGTCAGTTAATAACTTAATTGTTAAATTTCCAAAAGAAAAGTTCTATGAAACTGATTTGAAGTTGTGGTCCAATATTATCACACATGCTTGAATTCTAACTGTTCTAGTATTAGATTTGAGCTTAGTTTGTACAAGATTAGCATAAATCTAACCTGTTTACAAGTGTACCGTCTACATTTATGAAGTGAAGTCCAGCATGATCGAATACTTACACTGAACTTTTATTTTGAGTAATCTCCTTTACCCAATTATTTTATATATTGGAAATGTCATTTGAAATTTATATTACGCGGTAAATCTTAATATTTGTTTATCTTAATTGTCACGCAGGGGGGTACCTCCATCTCCCCGATCTGATCATGCTGCTGCCGTACATGCAGAGCGTTATCTTCTTATTTTTGGTGGGGGTTCACATGCAACCTGCTTCAATGATTTGCATGTCCTAGATTTGCAAGCGGTAAGATAACTACTCTTCACTTTTCTTGCATGTGATTGAGGAATTAATATATTTGTCTTTTATGTATTTGGATTTGTAGATGGAATGGTCAAGGCCCACCCAACAAGGGGAGATACCAACTCCTAGGGCCGGTCATGCAGGTGTGACTGTTGGGGAGAACTGGTTTATTGTTGGCGGTGGAGACAATCAAAGTGGTAAATGTCTCACTTCAAAATCAAATAGAAGATTATTATTGTTCCTTGGATGACTTTTCCAGGCCACGCTTTTTAGTGTTAATGAAATGTTAAATGCCTCCGTCACATGTGAAAAATAAGAGAAAGCTTAGTTGGACTTGGATCTGTTAATTTGCATGGAAAAGCTTTTATAATTACTGCTCCTTAATCTTAATTGTTTGTCGTATTCTCATCTTGTAGGTGCATCAGAAACTGTTGTCCTTAACATGTCAACCCTTGTTTGGTCAGTTGTTACATCAGTTGAAGGACGTGTTCCTCTTGCTAGCGAGGTATTTTACATTTTACAGATGCTCGTAGCCTGTAAAATACCATGCATGTGGCAATTCTCTTCCGGATTTTTTCATCATACGTACATTCCTCCTTCACAATAGGAATGCAACATTTTATCAAGTACAATAGTTTTTTTTTCAATTTATTTACTTGTATGTAATGCTCATCTTAATAGTATATGATATTAGTCTTTATAAATAGGACACAACATCCAGTTTCAATGATTGGAGTTGCAAAGTTGCTATCTAATTATGTCTTGTTGTAGGGATTAAGTCTGGTTGTGGGCTCCATTGACGGGGAAGATATACTTATATCTTTTGGAGGATATAATGGGCGTTACAACAATGAGGTAGAGACAGTTTAGCCACTTTATGTACAAATTGGTCATTTTATTTCTCTTTGTTCATTTTTCTTTTTGCTGTCAGGTTAATGTTCTCAATCCCAGTCATAAGTCAACTTTGCAATCAAAGATAATGGAGGCCCATGTTCCCGACAGTGTTTCCGCCGTGCATATTGCCACAAATCCTACCAGAGATTTGGAATCTGAGCTTGAAGTTGGTCAAGAAGAAAAAATACGAGAAATAGGAAAAATACGAGAAATTATTATGGATAACACTGACTCAGAGCCCATGGTATGTAATATTTTGATCAACATTCAATACCGCATGTATATATAATGCTTTTGCATATATCCGATATGGTGAATCTAGTATAGTTCATAATTTTGTTATGCAACATTAGAAATGTACTTTTGTTTTCAATATAACTTTTATCATATCCCGACATTTCGAAACTTACAGCAAATAGCTAGTTTATTTACAAATTTACTTACTCTTTTCTTCTGCACACAGTAACTTTTTGACCATTAATAATTTAAGAATTAAGAAGTATTGAAGTTTTAAGGTGTTCAGATTGTCAATTTATATTTTCCACTAAAGTTTACAGTATATGCAGAAATCCAAAGGTGAGGAGACTATTGAATGCATTATAGCAACACTCAAGGCGGAGAAGGAAGAACTAGAATCATCACTCAACAAGGAAAAATTACAGGCTCTCCAGCTGAAGGAAGAACTAACTGAGACTGAGACTCGAAACACGGACCTGTACAAGGTAGTTTTTTTATGTATGATGGCTGGTCATGTAGTTCTTTCATTGTTTCATTTGAAAGTTTGAAGACAGCGGCGTCTATTGGCTTAGTCAATTTTTTTCTCACTAAATTCCATTTACATTTTAGGAGCTCCAATCTGTACGCGGTCAACTTGCTGCCGAGCAATCAAGATGTTTCAAATTAGAGGTATATAACATTTAAATCCAGAGAACAATGCCATTGCTTACAATATACTTTTATCTGATGTTTTAAAACGAGAACTTCAAAAGCAGTTCAGGTTCACAAATACACTGTGGCACATACCTGATGAATTTGAAATACCCTTATTATACTTTCGAAAAACAGGTCGATGTTGCGGAACTGCGACAAAAGCTTCAGACTTTGGAAACACTAAAAAAGGAACTCGAACTCCTGCAACGACAGAAAGCCGCATCGGAACAAGCCTTGACAGCAAAGCAGAGGCAGGGATCAGGTGTATGGGGTTGGCTAGCAGGCGGCCCTCCACAAAACGGCCTCGATGCCTGAAAAGCCCAAGTGAACAGTAATTTCTAGATTTATTCAGATTTGGTCAATTTTCAGTTAAAATATATTACTTAATCAAATTTCTTTCTATGATGGGAATAAGATATCTAGTTATAGCCCAAACCCAAATGACCCCTTGAGGGTGGTTTTGCATGTCTACATAGATTCTAGTTCCAGTTTTCTATAGTTTTCCTTTAGCCAATGTTGTATCAGAATTTGTATTCAAAATTGGTTATTCGAGTGAAAATTGATTTTACGGCAAACTTTGTGACATTGATTAACACTTTGATGTTTGATGAATTCATATTTGAGATTGAATTGATAATGAATTAAATATTGGATAATTTTAATACATGGTTTTGATCGTTTTTGGGTTGTGGACTTTGAGTTGGTTGTGTTTATATGTACATTAAAGTTTAATATACAGGGATTAGGTTTAAGTGGTAAATCGTCTGATATCGTTTATTGGATCTCAAGTTTGAGTTTTTTGTGTATGTAAAAAAATTTCGTTAAGAGACTCACTTATCAAAGTTAGGTGTGTGAATAGATCAATCCGAATTAATCAGGAATAAACTCTAGGAATTGAGGGGGCAAATTTTTTTTAATATCCCATACCTTAATCCTTAAGGGTGAGTTTGGTTCATGAAATATAACATTACCTCCAGGAATATGATTATCGGAATGTAACATTACCTAATATATTACTGGGAATGTTGTATTGTTGTGTTTGATTTGTTTAGCAAGAATGTAAGATTATAGTATTTGGTTAAATGAATAAAAGATTACTGAAATGTGTATTTTACCAAATTGTCTTTATTATATATTTGTTTTTTTAACTAGTTGAATTCTAAATATTCAAATGAAAATATTTCTATGAAAGATCATATAAATTATATTTTCTTTATAAAATTTAAATTCATAAAATTTATATAATTTTTTACAAAATTTAAAAGATAAATAGGTTTAATGAAAGAGTTTAATTTTATTTTAACTTTTGAATTTCATATAAAATTCTAATTGCGGCCTTTTTTGTAAATCTAAAACAGCTTAAGGATAAATTTGCAATTTAACCCTCATAGAAAATATTTTTTATTCAATGAAAGAAGAAATATATTTTTGAAAAAATTGTTTTAAGGGCATTTTAGTCCAAAGCCATGAGAAATGACAAATACCTAAGGGATTGGGGAGAATGACATTCCCAGTAATAAACTCCCAAAATATCATTGTTGTGAATGACTTATTACCCCATATTGGAAATCTTTGTAATAAAAAATTAAACCATAAATTTTAGAATATAGATGAAATCATAAATTTTAGAATTATAAAAGGACTAGCCAAGAATTAAACAACAAAATTTACTTTTGATAATTAAAAAAGAAGTTATTTGAAAGATGTTTCCAGCGGAGAAACTATTGCCGCTAAAAATCCCCCCTTAGAGTCGGTTTTCAAACACCTTAACAGATCCCTCTCCCTTATTTATCTCCCTGTCCGTTTCCTTTCTCTGTATATACCCATTACCATTCTCCATCTTCTCTTTCATTCCAATTCCAAAACTTCCCAATGGAGCTTACACCTCTAGAAATCAATCTTCACAGTGCCAAAGACCTCAAGAACGTCAATCTTTTCACCAAGATGAACGTCTACGCCGTAGTTTCAATCAACGGCGAGCGTCTCACGGCCCAGAAATCCCCCGTCGACAAGGACTGCGGCGCTAATCCCAACTGGGATTACGCCATGAAGATGACCATCGACGAAGCCATCGCCCGTCGTAACCACCACAACCTCGTCATCCGTCTCAAATCCGACCGCATGCTCCGCGACAAGGAGATCGGGACCGTCCAGGTTCCGATCAGGGAACTGCTCGATCACAACGACGGCAACGGGAAGGTCGATTACCAGAACGTGAGTTACAGCGTCAGGTTGCCGAATGGGAAGACCAAGGGGGTTTTGAATTTCTCTTATAAATTCGGGGAAACGTTTACAATGCCCGTTGTTCCGCCGCCTCCGATTACGGGGTCGATACCCATGTACGGAGATGATAATAATAATAATACTAATAATAGATTTATGGCGTATACGCCGCCCCCGTCTGGTTATCCGGGACCGAGCTCGGGGTACCATCCGCCGCCTTCACAGGGGATGAATGGATATGCTTATGCTCCACCCGGTGGATATCCGCCGTATGGGTACCAACAGGGACCGGCTCCGGGGCATGGGTACCAAGGTTATCCGGCGGCGATCGGTGGATATGGGTACCCGCCGCCGGTGCAGCAACCACAGAAGCCGAAGAGAGGGAGGATGGGGGCAGGGTTGGGATTGGGGTTAGCTGGTGGATTGTTGGGTGGAATGTTGATCGGTGATATGGTTGATGATGCTTATGAAGCTGGTGTTGAAGATGGACTTGATTATGATTTTTAATTTTTTTTATGTTTTAATTAATTATTTCTTAAATTTTCTTTTTCTTTTTTCTCGTTTAGATTAATGAGATTGTAAATGGTGATATTATGAGTTTATAATAATTTGATTATTATAAATCTAAAAAATGTTTAATATATATAATCATCATAATCAAATTCTTCATCATATTTATATTTATATTTATATTTTAAAAGAGGACGACCTATATACAGGAATGAATCGAAGATTACATGTGGGAGCAATTGAATTCCTAAAAAATTTTAAATTAGTATTTACTTTAAATATTTTCTATTAATAATATGTTTTTATCTTCTAAAATTTTATAAGTTTATCTTATCCTAAAATTTTATAAATTCTTTTCATCTTAAAATTTTAAAAATTAATTCTTTAGCATAAAAATATACTCTTCATTCTTTTCTTTTTTTTATTTTCTCTTTTGCTTTAGTTAAATGTTATGCCCTATATGAGAAATAACATGTAAATTCTCTTCAATTTATAGGGGACAAGTTAATTTAATGATATTTTTTACTACATCGATTTAATTTAATTTTTTTTATTAATATGAGATACGTACAAGGTAGTATCTATTCAAAGACAACTCTCAATCATTTGATATTAAACGCTCACATCCCTAAGTCCTGACATTTATTTTATAACCGATGTCACTTAATTCGTGAGGTTTAATTTAATTTTTTTATCAGTGTTTAATTTTATTTTTTATCAGAGTTTAATTTAATTTAGTTTTATGAAATTGGGGATATTTTGTGTGCAAAGGAATGTAATTAAATATAAATGTATAACGGGATTTGATCCAATTATATTATGTAAAACTAAAAAAATTTATACTAATTTAAATCCATTAAATTTAAATAAATAAACCACCTTTCCTCCCAATCATTATCGTTACTATGGACACCACCTTTCCTCCCAATCATTATCCACCCCATTCCAGGATCTTAGTTTATGAAAGAAGATGTTTTAAATTAACAAGTGGTTCATGTTGGAAGGCCAACATGTTTTAGTTGATGTAGAATAACTTTAGGGTAAATTACACAGATCATCACTGAACTTTCTCTCTTATTGAACTCACTCTACTATCAATTTTTCTAATTTGGTCATTGAACTTTATACATTTGAAAAATTTTGGTCACTCTGCCCGTATCTCTCTAACGTTGTTAACGCCGACCACCGTCGACCACCACAGATGGTGGTCGTTTGGCCTCAAATTTCACGTGTCGTTTCACGTCAACCCCTGAGTCTGAATCTAGTGGTTATTTTACCGAAAAATATCTCAAACCCCGTGAATATGGATTGAAACGTTTCGGCTTCCTCACTTTCAATCTCAAAATCATGGGCTTCAGATCAAGTTCCGAGTCGGTTTCGGACTCACGGTGTCGAGGTGAAACGACCCATGAAATTTGAGACCGAACAACCACCATCTGTGGTGGTAAACGATGGTCGGCGTTAACAACGTTAGAGAGATAACGACAGAGTGACCAAATTTTTTCAATGTATAAAGTTTAGTGAGCAAATTAGAAAAATTGAAAATACAGTGACCAAAATAGGAGAGAGAAAAAAGAACAATGAGGAACGGTGTAATTTACCCATAACTTTACTTATAGCCTCTTTTAATCAAATCAAAGTTGGATTCCCTAATTTTCAGAATGGATTTATAGGAAAATTTATTAAAATATTCTTTATGATATCAATTGTGTTCAGAGGATTGTCGATCATTTCTGTCAGTAGAATAGGCTTTAGCAATAATGACTCCGACTAACATAGTCGAGGAGGGACAATTACAATGAAGCCGATGACAATTTTTTTATTAACACACCAAATAAGCACATCATCCCCTATCGAAAAGGAGCCAACGGGCTTGGACTAGTTGGTACTTTCAAGTTTCTAAGCTCTTTACAAACATGATCCAACATTCCCAGAAAATCTCTTACGATCACGAATATCCTAAGTGGATTTGCTTCGTCTACCTTGCTCACATCACCATGGAAATATTCTGTGATTTCTCTCACGTGTAGAAGGACTCTATGTTCGTCTTCTTCCAGCTCCTTTAGATTCTTCTCTGCATAGTCCAGGAAGGAATTCATCGAACGAATGAAATTCCCACTTTTCTCGTCCGTCGATAGCTCCACTCGAACTAGATGTTGTAGTTTAGCCTTGCCATCGGATAGGTTCGAGACGGAACTGGCAAGAACATCGAGGTCGACCGTCGCCGTCTTCTTGACATGGTAAAGTTCGGTAGTTAAGCCCGAAACAAGGTCTAGTCCCATCCTTCTGTAGTCTTCTTCCTTCTCTTCGGGTGTTCTGCTATTGTTTCGCTGGTTGATCTTCCCCATAATGCTATCGGACGCTCGTACTCCTTCCGAACGAACAATCTCTTGGACGACGAAATGGAGCAATGTAGTCTTGCCGTCGGTTCCTTTCACATCAGCAAGCTTGAGGAGTGCGTCGAGCTTGAACGCTCTAGCACCTCCTCGAATCGTCCCAACGTTCATTCGGTTGCCGGTTTTGAGTACCGCCTCGAGTAGCTTTAAGAAGAGCCTGCTTGATCTGAGTTCCTTGCAGGCTTCCTAGGACAACAAGGACATTTTTCACTAATGTTTTTTTCCTCACCAAAATGTATTGCATCAATTATTGCATGACTTACCTCTAGCATTGAAAATGAGCTTTTAAGATGAAGCACCTCGTCGTCGAAAGTTTCGCAGTAAAGCATCGCTTCGGCGCGTAAGAAGGCGAACGGAACGCTTAGAAGCACTTTAACGAACTTCTCAGCCGACCCCAAATCGTTGATATCTCCTTTGAAGCCATAGAGCTTATCCTCTTCTTCCTTGGTGGGTACCATTTTCACTAATGCTTCTAGTTGTTGTAAAACCAATCCATTCCCTGCTTGTTTTCATCAAGAATTAATAATAATTCATGGGAAATTTGTTCACAAATAAAGGAATTTTCAGAGTTTTACCTTTCATCAATGCATTGCAGGCTTGTTCAGCTGTCACATTCAGTGCTTTCAAGAGAATGGTTATGTTCTGCAATCTCTTGGGCTCAAGTACATGCTTACTCGGAGAAGGGGTTTTGCTTTTTGCTTCATCGTTCTTCATCGGATTTTGTATGTTGTATCCGAAAAGCGATTCGATCATTTCCTCATCCAATCTGTTTGATGATCATGTTAGTGGATCAGAAAGGTATAAATTGTGTATACAGAACAAGACAATATGAGTTAACTTACTCGAATGAGCTCGATCTCATCTTGTCCCATACCATAGACCGGTCTGGTGCAGCTCTCACTTTGTCCCAATGAAGTGGCTTCAATTTTGGCAATGGAGCACCATCTTTGCCTATTGGCGAGTTCTGTCCAGGTGGGGGAGGTGGACCTTTAAGAAATGGAGGCGGACACGGTGGTGGAGGAATACTCGATGGACTCGGTAACGTATTAGAAGGTATTCGAGGTGAAAACGGGCTGTCAACCAGTCCTAACGAGGAATGTGAACTCCTTGAAGATGTTTCATTGAGCAATGTAGAAGGACTCGAAGTTTTCGGTGTCGTTGTCGTCATTGCAGGCGAGGAAGAATATAAAGGAGAAACGCGCACGACGGGAGGCAGAGGAGGTGGCGGCGGAGGTGGCGGAGGAGAGGCTGATATCTTTGTGTCATCATTAAGACTAACAGCTGAAGCATTGGAAAGCCTAGCATTTGGTGAATGGGAATCAACAAAGGAATGAAAAGATTCATTATCAGATGAATGGCATTCAATGTGAGGTGAACATTTCCCACCATCAGAACCAAATCTTCCCGATTCGACGTCTTCGTGGACCGACTTTATCTCCCTCGTCGAGTAATCACAACCATTGCCGGATTCTTGCGCACCGACATGGTCGTCGCTTGGACTCGGTGATGATTTATCAGTCTCACCACTTTGTTTCAAGCAAGCTTGTTGCTGCTCCAAGCTCGCTCCCAAGGAATCAAGATTAAAGAGATCAAGGCTAGGATCTTGAGAACCCAAACACTTGGATTCACCTTTGATTTTCCCTTTTCGCATTGATTTCATATTGTACTTCTTGATTTTGCCACAAAAACAAAGGACTCCAAGAACACAAACTAAAGAAACAGCCCCCGCAGTTACGAGGACTGGAACCAGAATTCTTTTAACTCGTCCTTTATCAGCCCTTTCCTTACCAACTCTAAGAGGTTGTGGCTTCACGCTTGACCGAGGCGGTCGAGTATGGAAACCAGCATGCTTCGGCTCAGCCGGAGACGGTGCCGGAGCCGGAATAGAAATTTCAGCTTCGATGTCAGGTGATGGAGAAGGAGATGGTGAGGGACATTCACCAGCACCATTTAGAGTTCTTGTTTCGGCACTTTTCAGTCCAAGTAAAGCTCTAAACTTGAGCACAAATGAAGCTTCTTTCACTTCATTCTCATCCTGGCCTGAAACTTTCTCAACATTGTCCTCCATTAAAGCATCAGCAATCAACATGTTGGAGCTTTGCAACATGAAAATGATGATGAAAATCATGTGAACAATCCGAAAACCAAAACCCATCATTTTTTTCCTTCTTTTCAACTACAAATCATCAAAGCACCAATCTAGCTTTTCTGCTTATAAATCTACTTTTTTTTCCTCTCAATGAAAGAAGAAAAAAAGAGAGCATTTATTTTGGTCCTGGATGAAGTCTTTAATGCTACTCCAAGGAACCCCTGATCCTGGCTGTTGCTGTTGTACTGAACCACCTTTATCTCTCTCAACTTCTTAAATCCTCCATTGCCATGCAAAACACTTTTTAATGATGTAGGTCATTTTGTTCCTTTTAGTAAAACCCTATACCTCAAATGTCACTTTTATCTCCTTCTATTACTCTTATTAGACACAAATATCAAAAATTTTACCACTTGATCGAGAAAAAACCCGAAATATGTATTCTAAAGTTCACTATAAAATGGTCCTAAAATAAAACCTTAAAAAATGCATGTAGGGTCCTATTCTGTTGGACTTGCATGATACTTGAAAGCGAGTTTTCTTCTCCAACCCCATCATTAAAAAAGGGGAGGGGGAGGGGGAGGGGGAGAGGGAGAGAGAGGGTTCATGGTCCATTCCTTTCTCATGTGGTAATGTTTCAATTCTTTGAATTATGAAATTTAAAGCCATACTAGTCCAAAAGCTAGCTAGGGACTTGAATGCTGCATTATGGGAAGCTAATTTTTCCTTTAGTATTTGTCTCTTTCTCAATCTTTTTTCCTCATGGCTCCACTTTTGCCTTTGTTTTTTTTAGGGTTTATTGACTTAGTGTCAATGGTTTGGTAGAGTTTGATGTTGATTTCTGAGTAATTATTCTTTGGAATAAGCTGGTGTTGTCACTTTAAACCCAATTAGGGTTTTAAGTTGAAGTGTTGGTTATGGTGTTCCCCTTTCTCCTTTCCTTCTTTGAAAGCAAATTGGCTTATAAGTGATGAATTCGTAAATATTTTTTAGGGCATATATATATATTTTAAAAACATAAATTTTTTACATAATAATAAAATTAGCTCTCAATATTTTAAAAATAATTATTTTGCCCCTTATTTTTTAAGCATTTCGACCCTAACGTCTTATTTTAAGATAAAAAATACACATAACATTCTATTAAATAGTAAGTTTGACTCTTATTCTTTTTCTTGGAACAGTTTGGCCTATAATGTTTCATTTTAGGCCCTTATTTTGGATTGCTAATCATTTATTACTAGCAGTTTTCATCCTCATAAGGGTTTTTTTATCTCAAAATGAATCATTGAGGGCCAAAATACTAAAAAAAGAATAAAGGTTAAAATGATCATTTTGGTGAACGTTGAAGGTTAATTTTGAAATTTTGCCTAAAAAATTTATATGAGATGAGCATAAATATAATTTTCGGCGTAATCAATAAAATAGATAATTACCTGAAAAAATTTAGATTTCATGGTGGATAATGACCCATCTGGAGGCCTTAGTGGATCCGCTACTGGCATTGATGCTAAATCTTATCTGGTATGGATATATATTCGAATCAGATTTGTTAATTTTGACCCGGAATTAAAAACTCGAATCGATTAATTCAAATTTAAACTCGATCCAACATGATTTAATCATTAAATACAAACAATTAGAATGACTTGAACTCGAAACTATTCCGTTAAGATCCGCAAGTGCCAAGTAGCTTTTCTCTAACAGAAGATATGCAAGTGAGGATTCATTTTCACAATCTGTTTTTACCATATTAGGCTAAAAAACTGTCATAATCTGTACTGAGACCAACAGTACACTTTAGCAAGTCGTCTGGTTTTATTACATGCAATTTCACTAAAATCAAATCAAATTATATATATATAAAGATCTACTGGTTGGCATTGTGCTGTCATAAATCTCACAGCACATGACATAACTGAAACAGAGTGGAGCCCATTGTCAACAACAATAAGTTCCAAACAGGACCAAACTTTAATACCTTCCAATTCTTTTTCTTTTGGCAGTACTGCAATGGAGGATTGTGGGATGTACATATTTTACCTAAGCAAAAAAAATTAACTATATTATTTTTTTAGGGTAAAGTACAAAAATAGTCCCTCGACTATAAGGTATACTTCGTTGAGTCTCTCGACTATTAAAAGTTATAAAATGACCTTCAACTATAGGATGTTGATTTTTTGAGTCCTCAACTGTTAAAAAATTGATGACAGTCTGAGTTGGATGTTAACTTGTTGACTGAGATATGATAATTTTTTTAGATTATGGGATCAAATTTCATCATATCTCGGCCATTAGGTTAACATCTAGCTCAGGTTGTCGTCGATTTCTTGATGAAAAATGACGAGTTTGGAACATACTAAATATCCGGGTGACCATTTTATAACTTTTAATAGTCGGGAGACTCAACAAAGCAACACCCTATAATCAAAGGACTATTTTGTAACTTTTAATAGTCGAAAAACTCAACAAAATGTCATCTTATAGTCCGAGGACCATTTGTGTATTTTACCCTATTTTTTTAAATCTCGTTTTTATTTCGTAGTTCATATTTAGGGTTTGAGATTATTCTTCCGATAATGTCATTTCTAATTAAATTTAAATTTTATTTGTATAGATATAATATGTCTTCTCATTATATATAATATTTCTTAATAATATAGAGTTACATTTGATATTTTTCAAAATATATATCTATCAGATGATAACACGTGTTATCATATAATTTACTAATGGTACATAAAATTGTATTGGATTATGAAAATTATGCTAGAAGTTTGCAAGGCAAAGAGAAAACAGGAGAAATGGAGTCATGCAAAAGAATGATATGCATAACACTAAAATAGAAAGAAATTATATAGATAGATTAAAAGGAATCCTATGCTGCATTTGGTTTCAAGTTTACTCGAAGTTGGTGCCGAATTTTACGTGCCCAAGGTGTATAGATTGGGTCTCTATTAGGGGTGTCTAAAAATATCCGATCCGGTTGACACGACTTTCTGACACGACCTAAAAAAACTAAGTAATTTTCTATAAAAAAATTACTAGGCCCGACATTTCCTAGGTCGGGTCCGGGTCACAAAATTAAATTTTTCCGAGTGCCTGATTATCCGAGTACCCGATTAGGATTTTTTAGGGTAAACTACCTATTTGGTCACTTTTATATTATCTAATTTATGTTTTGGTCACTTAATTATTATTTAGGGTAAACTACCTATTTGGTCACTTATATATTATATAATTTATGTTTTGGCCACTCGATTATTATTTAGGGTAAACTATTGGTCGCTTATATATTATCTAATATAATTCATATATATTTTTATTTAGGGTAAACTACCTATATGGTCATTTATATATTATCTAATATATGTTTTGGCTACTCGATTATTATTTTTTTTCAAAATTATACCTAATGTTACGTTTTGATTATGTTTTGATCACCCATATTTAAAAATAAACAATGATGCTAACATGACATTTTTAATTATGTTTGGATGTTGGACTAACATTTTTTTTAATTATGTTTGGATGTTGGGCTATGTAATTCAAAGTTTCGAACATTTAAATTTGTTTGTTTTTTTTTAATTAATAATTTGAAAAAAAGGATTACCTGAAATACGTGTACCCGCAAAATTCAGGTACCCGCAACATCTGGGTCGAGACACGGGTCGAAAAATCAATTACCAGAAGATACGGGTACCCGGATTTGCACACCCTAGGTCTACTGCTACTTTATTTCATTTGTACATTATCTTACATGTACTTTTGCTTTTATTATGGAACATCTAATGTGTATTGTTTTTTAGGAAAAGCACAGGGCCAAATAGATGTAATAATGGGCCTTTATTCATATGACAATGGATCATAGATTCACTTCTCCATCTAAGAGCTTAAACCACTTTCATGGTTTGTATGGGTGTACGATAGGAGTATGTATTTTTGGATATTGAATATTTATTTAATTTTAAAATTTAAATATTTAAAATTTTGAATAACTAAAATTATTATATAAATTCGACCATAAATATGTTGTATCAGAGAAATCTCATCTCTGGACTTACAGCGTAAATAATTTCTAATGGTTTGCAAATGACATCTATTAATATTATATGGTATTTTATTTATTTATTCGGGGTTAATCAATTGCATCAATGATATTATTTGTGCATCTGCTTTTATTTTATGTAAGGATGTTAATTTAATCTAAATTTGACGGTTCCGATTTGATAGGAGTGGTTTTTTCTTTTAAATTTTAGTGACAGATACCGCATTTTAAGCAGGCTATTGAGTGAAAAATTGGTGCCAACAAAAGAGAGGAACCCCATTAAAAGATGGGGGAAGGGTCTTGCCTATTTTTTGGAGGACAATTGGAAGAGAATATGGGTTCTGGCTCTTTGAATCTCAATCTGTGCTTGCCTGCTCACCTGGAAATTCATTCAATACAAACACAGGGCAGTATTTGATGTGATGGGCTACTGTGTCACCACAGCAAAGGGTGCTGCTGAGACAACTAAATTCAACATGGCCCTCATTCTTCTTCCGGTGTGCAGGAATACCATTACTTGGCTCAGAAGCAAGACAAAGTTAGGGGTAGTTGTCCCATTTGATGACAATATCAATTTTCATGAGGTATGTGATAAATAAATATCTGATATGAAAAATATATTGAATATATATGTATGTCTAGTGCATTCTCTTGATTGGCATACCTGTTTTGAGTGAACATCTTACAGGTGGTTGCTTTTGGGATTGCTATTGGAGTTGGCTTGCATGCGGTGCAAATCTAGCATGTGACTTCCCTCTACTTCTCCATGCCACCGATGACGGGTATGAGCCAATGGAACAATTCCTTGGGGAAGAGCGGCCTAACTACTACTGGAGGTTCGTGAAAGGGACCGAAGGGTGGACCGGTGTGACCACGGTGGTGCTCATGGCCATAGTCTACATACTAGCCCAACCTTGGTTCCATCGGAACCAGTTAAACCTTCCTACACCGATAAAGAAGCTCACTGGATTCAGTGCCTTTTGGCATTCGCATCATCTATTTATCAGTCTATGCCCTCTTCATTGTTCATGGATACTATCTCTACCTCTCCAAGAAATGGTACAAAAAGATATTAAACAGTAACCTGTAAATGTACCCTGGATCTACAATGGGCTAATATTTACTTCTGCTTATAATCCAGGTTGCAGTGTACCCTGTAAATGTACTCTCCCTTCAGATGACTAAGCCCCAAGGATTTAAGTACACCAGTGGCCAATACATATTTGTGAACTGTGCAGATGTAAAAACAGTAACCAATAATGTAATTTTCCTGACGTAAAATGTTTTTAACGACAGTAAAAATGGTACATTTAATGAC